AGGGTGGCTACCTGGGGAAGCCACGCAACATCAGGTGAGACCACTGTACGTGTGATCCTTATTTTGCTATGGGCTGATTCTATTTTCTGCTATTAGAGAATTTTTGTTCTCCTAGTTTTTGATTATTTCTGGGTCTTTGTTTTTCTTTGTGCACCCTCAACCATTTCAGAATGTCACGAGGTGATCCACGCAACATCATTGAATATCGGGACCTGGATGCACCAGATGATATGGATTTCTTTTAGAGGTTTCCCATGGTCCTTTCAGTCGTTGCTAGTGTGTTCTGCTCACTTTTTCAGTAATTCATTTTGTTTTTTGTTATTACTGTGCATTTAGGGCAAAATTCTGCTGTAAACTGGTTCCCCAATAAAGTTGTGATCTAACTAATGTCCAGATCTGGTGAAGAGCATTTTCAATATGGCATGTGTTTCAAGGCCCCAACCCCTCTGGTGAAGGAACTGAAGCAGATGTGAGGAATGCTTGCCCTCTGCTGGACAAACCATTGAATTACCTATGTCATTATTTGACACAGCTGCTAACTAGAGAACTGCAGAAGGCTTGCAGTGATGCAAGGAAGATACATATCTATTGAATGGAAACACTACCAAATGCACTCTTGCTTTGCACAGTATGTCTGACGATGTACAAATACACTAGTTCCAAATTGTCAACTCCTACACAGATGTAAAAAAAAAAAAAAGCTTTTAGCAGAAACATGTACTGTACTTATCAAATGTAAAGAACATTCAGTGCTGAAAATGGCCATTTTCATACATTTTGTAAATCACAGGTAAAAGAGCATGGTCTTAACCTTGTTTACATAATTCATATAGAAAGAACCAGCATTATTACTTTTATTCAGCAAACTGAGAAAAAGCATATAAACATTTTACACAAGCAGTAATTTGACACGTGGCGTTTCATCGTAAGTGTTGCATACATACCAAGACAACATAAGCACTGCTTTACAAACAACATTCCCACATAATGGGCATTGCATCTTAATTATTATTATTAAAGGCATATATTCATGTTAAATATATCAGCAGAATTTAAAATAACTCTACAAGGTTAATCTGCCATTGAAGATCAGGTTCATTACATCAGTCCCACACAAGTCCCATTTTGGAAAAGCCCCATGTACAAACTAAAAAAAAAAAATTACACAGTTCATGTGGAAGTGAAATGTCTAAATGATCTCAAGCTTGTGACTTTCAGAAAGTCCATATTTGACCTTGTGTTCGTGGAATAACTTGGACAGGGCCTCTATGTAAAGTCTATGATAGTGGTTGACCTCTTCCTCAGTCGGTATGAGATGCTTTGGCACTGAGATGGGACTTCCCACTGGAAGAAGCAGAATGTGAGAATAAAATAGGCTCAAATTCGGCTTATATACAGAACAGTAAAATACTCACCGACAGTGGTGATTGGAGTCCTGTAGGGTAGTAATACAAAGCGCTCACCAACAAATAGACATGGGGCGAAACCCATGATGTTTTTAAACAGGTCCTGTAGCTTGCGACTTAGACTTCCCTGTGAGAAAATCACCTGCTTAAAGAGTTCATTCTCCCCAAATGAGTAAACAGGCACCAGATCAGCCCTGTGGAATATCATCAGACATTAAAGCAGTCATGGTTGTCTGGTTAAATGTGAGTACACTGACACCCACTGATAAAACATGAGTTATTTCTTGTGTTTTTAAAAGTGTTCTCACCCACACTCAAGGGCCATCCTGACAAATCCCTTTCTCTGCTTCACAAGTATTGTATGAACTCCAGGGGAGGATGAAAGGGACTCAGCAGCGCCCCCTATCACAATCACCACTGCATTTCCCTTCCCACTTTTTGAGAGGAGGTGGACAAGACTTGGTTTGCTGACTGGACAAAGGCCTGTTTGGACAGACAAAAGCAAGCTGTTACCAGCAGTTTAGTTTAGAAGCTCTGGCACTGATTAAAGGCAAAAACAAAACAGGAAGACTGGGTGTCTTGTCTGACCATAAAATTACACAACACACATTTTATCATTTAACAAATGAAGTGTCAGTTGTTAGATATGGTAGCTGCACTGACATCAATAACCTAGTGGTCCAATGCCAGAGCAGCTCTTGAACTATGAACTCCTTATGAGACTAAGAGACAGAATTGATCAATTTGTTGAACATGTTATAAATACCTGCACTCATCATGTACTCCCTAAAGAATGGTATCTTGAAGAGTCCGGCCAGGGTTGCCAGGGAGGGTCGCACCCCAGGAAACGCCTCAGCGAAGCCACAACTCTCTGTGCTGAAGCAGCTAAAGGCTCCAGCACACACGATACCATGTGGATGATAGCCAAAGATGTAGTTCTTGTTTGGATTGAGCTCAGCTGTCTTTACCAACTGAGCAAGAAAATACAGGAGGGGAGATGATCAGCACTGATCACATTTGTTCTCTGCTGTTAACCATAAAACCAAACCCAGTTTCACTTTGTGGGACAAACAGAAAAGATGGTGCAGGTGTGCAAAGTAAAACTTACTTTGACTGGAAAAAAGTCTCTGAAGTGCTCCCATACCCGCCACTTTCTCACAAACCTTCTTTTCCTGCCACCTGATGGAGACACAAGTCATCTCAGAGTGGCCCAGTTCTGTACTCACTGTCTTTGCAGCTCATATTCAAGAATCAGCATCAGTTGTGTCCCAGTTCCTGACTGCACAGCTAATTCTAGGCAGTATGTTCACACAGCAAGAGAGACAACATATACTCTAATACTAAACCCTTGAGTGTTTTTGTGGGCTGTTCATGGACACTATTCTCCCACAATGCAACGCACAAAGGAAAAATATAACTAATGGCGGATGGCAGTGAAGCAGCTCCAGGAACACTTCAGAAAAAAAGGCAAAATAAATAAATCAATAAATAGCTAAATCATTTTTTTAAGGTAAGCAAACAAAGTTTGTGCCATAAACCTTTGACAGTTTGATGTATCAAACAGTATCGTCATTTCCTTTTATATTAACTGCAAACACAGCAGTAAAAAGATTAGCATATAGTGTATTTTATTTATGATGTAGTATGGAATGGTACTTGTCAATTTTATCCTGACAAGAAAAGATAGTCAAATCACTATTGTTATATTCTTCTCTTGTTTTGGGTGGCGGGTGTTCACAAAGCTTTTTAACCATCATTTTAACTGTTTCCTGCTGCTGTGCACTTTGAGTAAACAACAAATCATCTCCAGTGTGAACACCACAGTACTGACTCATAATATGTATAGCGTGTGACTGAGATGCAGCTAATGTATGAGATGATGCTGATGATGGATGGATGTGTGCATGATGTAATTTTCTTTACCTTTTTCAGGGGTTTGCCAGTCCATCACCAGCCAAACAAAGTACAGAGCGCAGAGTGGCCACAGCGAGGTAAACATAAGATACGCCGTCAACACATAACAAGCCACGGCTGAGGTTGGATGTGCATCAGACCGTGTTGGACGCCATATATAGGAGGTACAAGAGGTGTCTTAAATTAGCTCAGCTACAGTTGTTAATAGTGTTTTCTGACGGATGCGGCCATAAACTTTCTAGCATCGTGTTAAATGAGATGGGAACTCACCTAAGAAGATGACGCTCAGGACGTACTGTAGAACACTTGCTGCTTCTAAAAACTCCTTCCACTGAGTTTTTTCTTTAGACATTTTTACAACCTGGAGGCTACATCAGTTTTGATCAGTAACATTTTATTGATGAATGAATCAGTAACCTTTTAAACTGTGCTTTCATTCAATAAAATCATTTGTGCTTAAATCATATTTAGTATGACTGTAGAAGCTATAAATGTTGCCTCGCCTAATATAATAAAGAAATTATTGACAGATAACTTTATGATAGAGCTCAGATTTTATCATTAATCTGTATCTGAGCTTGTGCTTTTAATCTTCCTTTAGGGAAGACATAGACCTAAAAACAAAGAGCAGCTGGATCAAATGACTAACTTATGAACGAGCTCACAGGCAAACCTAGACACTAGGAGCTTTAATTTGCTCACAAAATAAAACTTTTATTAGTCACAGTAGTCAGACCACAAAACACCTTGGGCTACAAAATCTTAAGACATCATAAAACTACTTTTGTGATCATAACACTAAGTATAAAACATGATACTTTACCTTACTGGAGCTTATTCCACGGTTAATTTGAATGGACGTAGATTCACCAGTTCCGGAGAAGCACAACATGCAATATGCACTTTGATCAGGTCATGTAAAGCTGCTGATAACAAATCCACTCCCCCAATACTTTGACACTCTAGCACGCAATGTCTAAGATAAACGTGATAGTTTTTTTTTTGCTAGGTCTATACTTTGTGTAGACTTTTTTGCCTTTGGTCGTTCTAGTTGCCAACAAGATTGCGTGTCAGTCTGTTATGTTGTCATTCAACTTAAAGGGATCTTGAACGACTGATGTGGAACAGACTTCCCTATTAATCTGCTAATGAAGTAACACATTTTTTTGTAAGTTATTTTAAATGTGTTCATGAAAAACACACTCTAGTTCCATTAGAGCAAAGTGTGAGTCTGAGTTTCTCTTTTATTTGAAATAATGATTTATTCCGATCAATTGTTTGTGCTTTCCCTATGTTAAGGTACAGTACCATTACTGCATCTTAATAGGATTTTCTGCTATTGTACTGGTCAGCTATATTTTAGCACAGATTAAGCAACAATAAGTTTGGTAAAGGTCCTGCACGTCCACACAGGTGTCTTCAATTTCCCTGTCTGGTTAGCCAGGCTGAAGGTGGGCGGAGCTATGCTGGCACCACCAATCCAATAATATGATGGTAGTGCAAACTGTGTAGCGGATTATCAACAGCAAGATGTGGAGTTTGTACATGACCACCTGACAAGAGGTTTGATCAGATAATTTAATTGAAAGAACCTGTGCGGCCTTTGACATTTAATCTCACCTGAGTCTTATCACACAGCTAGATGCTGGCCCATGTATTTCTTTTACCACTAACAAAACAAGTTAAATAAAATAAAGTTGAAATGTTAACTAGCACAGTAGTAAATTTTTTTTAATATAGATGGGAAACTTCGAGAACATGTTTCTGCACTTCAGCAAAGACTACTGAAGAAAACGGTCTTTGAGGAAATTCATTGTTATATGGAGACTAGCGGGACAGAGGATTTTATACTAATAATGGCTGATGCAGCAAATCATGTTTGTTGACCGTAAGCATGCCGATATAATACACTGTTTAAAGATGGAGCCTTTATGTCAGTGCATTTTCCTGATGAGTTAGATTAGTCAAACTACTACTGCGATGGCGTCCAGCACCATTAGAGCCCAGTGTCAGGATAAAGTTGAATCAGTCACTGAAATATTTACATGTGGGCTTTGGACTCAGCTTTCTCCAGATCTCTGATCAGTGAGATGAGCCTTCGCAGACACACACTGACCTCTGCACAGTATTGCAGTTCTGCTTCCAGCAGTGACAGAGCCTATGTGATTATGACCTGTGTGTCAGGGGGCACTCCTATTCTCAGACTTTCCCTTTCTCCCCTATACAGTCTCCCATAGATGTTAAGGGGTGTCAGCCCCACACTGATGAGTTTTGGCTAGTTGGTCATGTGACACCTCCCCCAAAACAGTTTTTATTGTTAGGTAAATGACAAGAAAATCTGAAGGCAAAACATCATTATTAAAACTTTTTTAAAAACATAGATTCTGGACTCAGTGTTGAGATGAATCATTTCCACTATTTCTCATTATTTTATTCTGGCCACTAAAGTTCTTTTCCTCGGCTTTGATTGAGATGATGTTATAAGTCTGTCAGACTAATGTTCCTGGGATGGTTTGGCCTACTGCACTACTCAGCAGTGGGTTTATGGGGAGCTTATTTTAAACCAAATAGTGTGTAATCCCCTATTACAGCAGTACAGTGCTTCCATAATATCTTCATATATGACAGTTCAGCTTTGTTTTGGGTATAGTCTAGGTTTATTGTAGTTGGGGGGGGAGGATAATTCTCTACTTTATCAAGAATCTATTAGGACATTTGAAGTCTGCCTCTGAATCGTTTGCTAAATATGACCTGTGAAGGGAAATGTCACTTCGGCCCGCTGATAATAGCAAAATAATATGAGCTTATGGCAGCAGTTGCACTCAAAGCCACCTCGGAAAAACAACCAGTGGTGTGCTCTCAGGAAGTACTGTATGAATATTAATCTAGATGCAAATGCACAGTGAGGATGCCCAGCACTTGAACCAACGCGGCGCGCTGTCTGCGCATTTTTGTGTCCCCCCCACGCCTGAACTCAACGTGTTTCTTTTGCGGAGGTCGTGTCGATGTCTTTTTTTGTAATATACGAGGATGGGTTTTAACCTAAGGGTTTGCAGAGGAGCGTTTTGTAACGTCGCACTGAACTGCATCATACACCGGCCAGGCTACATCGAGCTTCGATGGTAGTGCGCCGTTTATCATAAAAATGGAAGACCTTTCACGTCAAGAAAAGGCGTCAGTCCGGTGATGTGCGTCTGAATAGCTGATTTTTCATTTCCACGTCAATTGACACATCTGGAAAAGGATTTTTCCTTCCCTCCCGTCTACCAAGACAGCTGTGTCATCAACAACCGGCGTGGTTTTGTTGTTGTCTGATTTGTACAACTGGATATCGGCATAGTCTGCCACTGCGCCAGCCATAGGCTACCCAGTTACGAAGGTAAGGTAGCACACCTTCATTGATATTATGTTTTGCTCCATAAATCACCACATGAGTTGCTTACATCATCTAGCCTGTGTAGCCAGCTGCCATAGCCAAAACGCACCGTCTGCCTAATTAGTAGTAGAAGCTGAATTGCGGAGGAGATCGAGCTTGGGCCCGATGGCATTTTACGCGTAAATTCCAAGAAAGACAAGGTTGACGGTGAGCCGCTGTGCGTTCACAAGCCAGGTTATTCAACCTTGAAGCCTCACGGCACTTGTCGGTGGTAATAAGGCCTATATATTTATTTTAGCCCCAAACACCAAATGCGTGGCCACACGGTCCACGCAGTAGGCTATACCACACAGCCCTTATAAATATTTCGTTATAAACGAGCTTCCATCAGCTGACTGGTGATGCCGGAGCATGCACAGCGTTATTAATCAAACACCTACACCACAGCGGTGTCAGTGTGAGGTGCCTTATTTTGAAAGGCCGTGATAGCAGACATCTGCATGTTTACGGATGATAAGCACAGCAGGGTAGTAGTTGCGTGCGTGTGAATAGGCGGTTACTCTCATTGTGAATACACGGGTGATGTGTGTGTGCGCGCAGCCAGGTGAGGATGTGTTGGCGCGTCTTTAAGGTGCGGGAGATGCGGGGCAGGCGTCTGGGTGAGGGGAGCCGGATGATTACATTTGTTTTACAGGAAAAATGATCAAGCGACTTATGTCGAACCAGTTTCTCCAGTATCCCACCTTAGGGCATGGCTCCAAAATTGTCGAGGGGCAGTGAATTAAAGGTGAAACTATGGTTTGTCTGTAGTTTTTTTTTCGGGCGTGACAGCCACGCAGACCGAACAACTCTCCCACTGAGAGATTTCTTCATCACCGCCCCAATACAAAAAGAAATGTCAACAACAAGCAGTTGTTTGGCCTTTAAAATAAAGACACTTATTAGAGCTATTTCATAAGCAGCTGCTTTAGCAGACTGGCTTTATTCTGTCTTCCAATATTATTTAGAACAATCAGGGAAAGCAGCATGGCTTGGAAGGAAATGTATATGAACAGAGATGTTATGTTCCTTAGTAGGCTGTCTGTCAAATGCAATGTGAAAATTTAACAGGACTGGGAACAAATTACCCCCAGACTGGTTTTTCCTTCTGTTTACCCATATACATAATAGTCCTGTGGACAGATGAAATGAAGGTAGATTTGTTTGGGAAGAACACAGCACTACGTACGGCATAAAAAGATAACATGAAAACATCCCAGCAGAGAAGTAGGATGGAGGAAGCCTCATGGTTTAAGGCTGCTTTGCTGCCCCTGGACCTGGACCGCTTGCCCTGGTGGAGGGGAAAATGAATTCCCATGCTTAACAATGTATCCTACAGGATAATGTCAGGGTGGCTGTCTGCAAGCTGAAGCTCAGAACAAGCTGGGTGATGCAGCAGGACAATGGCCCTAAACATCCAAGTAAATGTACCGCTTCTTCTGCTACAATCACATAGTGTTTTGACAAATAAAGTCAAAGAGACAAGGGGGTCCCAAAGAGAATCTGAAACAGTGTACAGCTCTTTCTTCTATAGCGTCTACATTACCAAAACTGAAGGCCACACTATGAAACAGTGCAGTCAATATTTGTAACACACATTTGCATAAATCCTGTGCAGACCAGTAAAGGTCCTGGTGTTACTGCTATAAGGTGACCTGGGATGTTCTACAGCTCAGCAGTGTGATGATTCATGTTAGTACACTGATCTGTTGTAAATACTGTATCACTGATGGTGGGTAGGCTGTTGGTAATGGTCCTCTGTGCAGCCTTTACCTGCACTGACTGCCTGTCTGCAGCTTACATATAGTACTTTGAAGGCCACTCAAAATATTTTTTAAAATTATTATACTACATTTATGTGACCAAATAAATAGCTTTAGACATTTTGAAGATGGACTGGAGCTTTTTCTGTACAACACAAACACAACAACACAAAACAATTCAATGCAGTGAATTCATCAGGTCATACTGTAAACAGAATGAAAGAAGCCTGACTTGATGTGCAACTTCACTGATGCTCTCACCAACAAACCACAGACGTTATAGAAATAGTATGATTTCACACAGAAGGTATGTTTTGTTTATCACAGCACAGTAGCTGACCACAGTAAGTGAGTAGACTTAAGCTAGTCTTTGAATTAAATTTCTAGATTTTATAAACATAGTGCGAAAGGTGAAGATGTAACCTGAAGCAAACGGTGTCCTGCTAAGTGGAAATGGACATTTCAGTGCACTGCTTCATCGTAGTACAGCCACTGACATTAAATGGCATAGTAGTTGTACTGAGGAACTGAACAGTTGAACAGAAATCCAATGTTAGCTGCACAATGTCCACTCAAATGCAGTCTTTAAACAAGTGTGACTCATGTGAGTTATTTGTTTGGAAAAGTGGCTCCTTGTGTCCGTGTCATGAACACTGAAGTTTAGTTTGGATGGTGTCGGAACTGGGAGGCCAGTTGCTGAGTCAGCTGACCAGGTGTGCTCACAGGTGACCGTGTGGAAGCTGCCTGGTCAACAGGTCCACGAGGGAACACCTGCTTTCTCTTTTCCAGGTGTTCTTCCTTTCTTTACATGCATCCTCTCTTTTGCTGCATTTGTATTTTGACGAGCTCTCTTATCAGACACCAGGACTTCTGGTCATGTGATGCACTTGTGGGAAACCTGCACTCAGTAAATTCAGTTACTGCCGCTTTATGGGCTTAGTGCTGTCCCCTTGTTAACTCTTATGTTTTCCTCATGCTCTATTGCTCAGATGATGTCTGCGGTCTTGCCTTGAGGGGCACATCCTCTTCACTGCTGACAGAGCTGGACTCCTCACACTGGTGGCAACATGCGTGTTGAACAGCTATTATTATCTAGCCGACAATGACAGGCAAGACAAAGCAAGTATAGTGTTAAAGTCAAGTGGCAAAATACAGTATGTCATAAAAATGAACACCAGTGTAAAATAATTTTGTGTATAATCACCTATATACATGATGTCGGCACAACATTAAAACACATCTCTGTATGGTGCAGCCTGTTGTTGAATGAAAGCTGTTCGGTGCCTGAATTAGTAATTTTAATAACTGCAAATAGCCTACTCAAGA